AGCATTCCCCAAACGTGGGGTAAGATCTCTAAACCAGAAATCTCAATAAGTCAGTGAGTCCTCAAGGATCTTCCACCCCAAGCTCACTTACATGTGCAATATAAGTTCAAAAGAAGTTTATCATTTATCATTTCCAAAACAGTGCAATGCAGCAGATAATCATGTTATGTGTGTCAATTACTATTCTACTGGCCAGAGATAGTGCATGTATACGTCTATCACCTACACATAGTGCAAGTACCACTTGCATTCACCCCGGACCACCGTATTGTATGACGCCAGATACTCAGGTTTCTCGTCAAGATGAAACAACACATACATATTAAAAGCCATTACATTTAAAGTTCAATCAACATTTCATATATTCAAAGCATGTAACAGCATGCATAAGACCACACCCCCATGGGACATAGTGAAACCACATAATGGCTAAACCGAGGACACAAAAGTTTACCTTGTAAGCTACTATCCAATGCCAAGAGTCCACACAAGCTCAAGGCCCACAAACAGCACAATCACAATCTGCCCATGCCATAATTAATCATCAATAATCATAGCTCAGATTACACTAAGTGATTAAGTCTTTCTTACTCATTTTAACTCATTACATGCTGTTTCTGCAGGAAGTATTCGAATACTCCACGAGTAGTATTCGAATACTCCAGCTCTCCAGAAAGTATTCGATTACTTTCACTTAAGTATTCGAATACTCACCAGTATCCGCATACTTAACCCCCCAGTATCCGAATACCTCAGTATCCGAATACTCAACTTTACTGTATTCGAATACTTTCCAGTATTCGAATACTTCTTCAAAGGTAACCGAATACTTTTCTTCCCAGAAAAGTATCCCAATACTCCAGCAAGAGTATTCGACTAACTGATGAACAAGTATTCGAATACTACACGAAAAGTATTCGAATACTTCTTCAACAGAATGCAGAAATTCGAGCCAACTTCTGCATAATCCCAAATTTAAGGGTCCAAACGCGATTGGGAGTCCAATGACTCCCTAAACAGATATAACCCAACATGTTATGAACCCAGAAACACCTTCCTTTATTCAAATGGTTAAAGTTTCCCTTTTTAATTGATTAAACAAGCTAAACCCTCAAAAAAGAACAAAGGATGATCATGAATACCTCCAAGAGGTTTAAACTCAGAAAAGACTCCTCCTTGGAGCTCCCAACACAGCCCCACAACACTGCACATAAAGGTACACGAATTGACACCTCAAGCTAGTGTCTTTCTCCACAAAGCACACAACTTGGAGCACAAGAATGCCACTACCAAGTGACTAACCCTTCAAACTCAGAAAACAACCCTCAACACAGCCAAAACAATGGCCAGACTCAGAACAATAGCCCCCCACTCAACCCCAAAGGTAACTCTCACACACACCCAAGTGTTTAGAAGAAGAGATATGGAAGAAGAAGCTTCAAAGTTCACCAAATAGAGCACAAGGCAATGGAACAGTAGCAAGGGACTCACCAGCCGCCTAAGTCACGTAGGAAAATAAGGGTCTAGGGCTTTGTGCCCAATAATAAAGGTATATATAGCCACATACCCACTTAACACACAATATAAGCAGAAATAGCTACGCTTAGCATTTTAATCCCAAACTCAGGATTCTTAACCTACTCAATTTTACAAGAATTAACATATTTTTCTTATATTTTTCCGAGCACTTTTCCGGTACGCGCTTTTCCATAGCCAGTATCAGTTCTGGCACCAGTTCTCATTATTTTGACTTGAAACTCGTTTTACAAGTCCTATATATTATTCCCATAATATATAATCACTTTTCATAATTTTCCGGGATACTTTTTCGGTACACATTTATATCGACTAGCAGAATCGGTATCTGCACTTTTCCTCCGAAAAGCGACTTTCAGCATTATTACCCACTAATTGTAATTATTAAAGCCACATAATAATTATTAAGATCAATTATGGAATCATTTCCTAATTTTGCATAATTAATTAATTAAATTCCTTAATTAGCGGTGCAGGTTCTTATAGAAATTAACTTGTGTTAAACTCTATCAGTTATGAATTTCATTTTACTTTTGGGAATATTTTGGTGCACAATGTAGTGAAAATATAGCTCTCATTTGATATTGTTGTATGATTTTGTACTCTCAGCCTGTGTTGCATGCTGTAATATTTTTGTTTATTGAATTGTATGCTTCTGCTTGAACTGTTTAAATGCAAAAAGAATGCTTCTAGTTATTTCATGCAATTTCCTGTCCAAAGGGGATTATTGTGTTTTTTAATTGAAAGCTTAACTGTAATAAAATTATTGGAGGTGCATTGGTCTAGGTGATCTATTTGCCCAAAGGGGACAGATCTCTAAAGCCAATGTATGCTCATTAATTGATTCATCTACATGAAAGTAAGAGAGAGTAAATATATTTTCTTAGTACTTTATGTAGATGACATTTTATTTGCTAGTAAGATGTTGATTTATTGAATAAAACAAGAGCCTTTTATCTAAAAGTTTTGATAGGAAATATCTTGGAGTAGCCTTTTTTGTATATAGAACACGAATTCTTTAGATTCTTTGGATTCCCTTAATTAGTGGGAGTCGTACTCGAGATTTTCTTTTGAGTATCTTTGATTCTTTTCATTTCCTTGATTAGTGAGAGTCATGTTTATTTATTTATTTTGCTTTCAATTATTTTGCATGCAGACTGATATTTTTAAGAATTGTTGATGTTTTATTTTTGATAATCATCATCATTATTATTATTTCTCCTGTCGACTGAGAAATGTATGTATAGAATAATATTTTAAGCATGTTGTGAGCTTAAAGGTGATTGGATGTCACAAATTTTGAGATCTCATGTTGTATTGTGACATATTGGTTTACGTTTATCCAATCTCATCAATTTCATGTCATTTGGAAATTGTGTTAATTCAATTTCATGTTTTTTAGAAATTGTGGTAATGCAATTTCATGTTGTTGAGAAGTTGCATTACAGAGTGTAATTTCATGTTGCTTGGAAATTGCACTATTGCAATTTCATGTAGTTAAAAAATTACATTGAGGACCGATAAGAATTAGTGTATCACATTGATGATCACATTTTGGCACTAATTCTTACTACACTAATAGGCCTTGATTCATGAAGATCTAATACTTATTGTATGTGAGTAAGGAAGATCATATGCCATGATATTTTTGATATATTGATCGCCATATTCCTATGATGAGGTTATGTTGGATTGAATTGTGTTGAGATGCTGGAATTGGAATATTATTTTTCAAAATTGTGGTCACGTAAAATTATTTTTTAGTTATTAACCCGATAGAGTTGTTTTCGAAATAAAATAATTTGCAAAATAATATTAGATTAATTAATATAGCCCAAGTGGGAGAATGTTAGAAATTTTATTTATGGGCAATATTAATTAATTAGTTTTGTATTTTAAAATTAATCGGGTTAATGGATATTTCAATATTATTATTATAACTAGCCCATTGTGGTCATATTGAATAGGGCTTCTGGCATCTGTTGTTACTTGTTATTGAGCCTAGTTGGGCTGATTTTCCATGATGGGTGGACCAGATACAGACTCTTCTCTGGGTTATTAGCTAGGTCCCCTCTCTAGCCTATTTATATTGAAGTTAAACTTCATAAGCCATCATGCTTCCATCGCTGAGGCTGTCTTTATCAAAATAGGTGATAAAAAGGAAGATCTGACATGTAGTCCTTTGTTTTTTTCGGCTTTATGATGATCCAACAAGGTAAGCACAATCCCAACATTAATTTAATATTATCTGATATTTTATAATTATATAAATGATTCAGGGATAAAATAATTCTAACAATTGATGCATATTTAGATTTTGTACATCATAAATCTAAAGCAAGATTTATACCTGAACTCCCATTAATGTTGAAGTGATTTTTTAACTTTTGAAATATTCTTATTATAAATTCTTTCGGTAAAAAGCCCCAGTACTGAAAAAGATGGGGGCTAACCAGGGCTAAGGACAAGTTTGGTTGCAATAGTTCTTGACCCAAAGAAGACAATTTTCTCTGATGTTACCAAAAACTCTTTCCGACCTAAAACAACTTTTATCTTATTAACATTCAATTCGCCAATTTAAGCCACGTGCGTTTTACGGTGAACCCACTGTACTGGTAGCGGTAATTACTTAAAATTACTTGAAGTTTTGTGAATAAATTTATCACTGAAAATTCAAGTGTAAGTGATAAAAAATTTCATATCAAAAAAGAAAATGAGCTAAGTTTGATACGTGTAAGTGAAATGATCCCTAAATTTAACACAATAAAATTATGGGTTGAAATGTGGTATCGAATCCTTTATTACTTAAGCTCATTTGATGCACAGATGATCCTCTTCTCTAATTTTGGCTCTCCTTAGCCGCAGCCCAACGTTTATTGTCTCTTACATTTTGGTTTAATTTTTTGTTTTTTTAGAAGTTATTATTTCTAAAATTACAATACGCATATTTTCGGTAAGATGAATAAGGTAATGCTAGGGAGCCCGACTATACAAATGAGGCAAAGGATAAAAATTAAAACAAAAAATAAGGGGGGAAAATGATTGTGTAATACTCATACCTGTCTTCACTTTCCAGTCTGTTTAATACATGTTTTTGAACATTCGTTGATGTTGAACACTTGACCAAAACACGCTGTATTTGTTAACAACACTGTGTTTCAATTTGGGAAATGGAAATCTAATTCACGGATCAAATTAAAGCTTGACGATGGTCTATTAATTACAAGAGAGTCACATGACCACTAGCTAATTAATACTCGTCAAGACAATTACACTAACAACTGCTATAGTTAAAAGAAAGAAAATGAGAAATTTGCGCTTGTAATTAAATGGCTGTTCCCACTTTCTCTGTTATATATTAGTACAGCTACGTACATACAACACACACACACACAGAGAGAGAGAGAGAGGTGTGCACTGTGCAGTGATGTTTGGTTTGGACTCTGGACAGTGACAACCCATCTTTAGCAGAATGTTTGCTGGATTAGTTGAGCGAGTTCTTCGGCACTGAGTTGGCATTCAATTCCAATCTATATACACGAGTATTAAGAAACCACAATTATTAGTGAACCAATATTGAACACGTAAGTAGCATACATACCCTATCATATGCTAGTTTCCATGAAATAACAAATTTGAATCATAATACGACACAGCACTTTATATATGTCTTTTTCAGCAAAAATGAGGACAAATGTCCGAAAGGAGCCATGATATATATGTCTCCCTAGTCTCCCAGATAGATACATCAAGCCATTTATTTTTATATATCGCAATAAAGAACCGCGCACTGCATACTGGCACAAAAAATAAAATAAAATAAAGAAAAAGAAACCATTTCCATTACTTCATTCATTATCATCATGATCAATATTTTTCTAAAGGTTGTAGACTGCTATTGGGAAATTTTCTCAAAGGGGAGTGTAAGAATTTGATATCCAAACCATTTTCATTGTTAGGGTTTAAGGAACGAAAACAGTTATACTTGAATCTAAATTAATTAACTTGTCATTAATAAAAGAAATTTAAGAAAGAGACAGGATTCTAAGGACATGCATGTTAGATAAGAGCAACATGTTTCTATCGAAAAGACCAAACATTTTACTCTATGCATGTAATAAAGTACTGCTGTAAAAATTGAGTATCAGTCTTTTAACTTCTTTTCTATTTTTCTCTTTTATTTCCATAATAATGATAACATACTCATATGTGAAGCTTTATGCCTTTACTATATAGATTTTGTTTTATAAAATGCAAGGATTAGCTAGCTATTAAACGGAACAATTTAAGTGGAGGAATTAGAAAGAAAAAAGAAGGAAATGAGCCATTTACAAATTGCAAATACCTTGATAGTGAATGAGTTTAACATGGTGTCATCGGAAGTACTGCTAATGTTCACATGAAGGATTTCAAGCGCAAGTTCTTCAAGTGCTGACATGATCTTCAGAGCTTGCCCTGGAATTCGTTGAGATAAAGTTTTCAAAAGAACATGTGGACCCGAAAACTTGACCTCAACATCGGCAATAGCAGACTTGGAATTGGCAACAAGCTCATTGATACTATCGATGATGGAGGAAGCAGAAGAAGTAGGAGATGGCTCGAGAGAGTTGGATATGGTGGGTGAAATGTATCCTTGATGCAACCTCGGCTTGTAAGGGCTACCTGGTTGTGGTGTCCTTGGACTAATAGGCAAGTTTAGTCTAGGACTCAGAGGTGGTTTTCGAGGACTAAGTGGTGATGGCCTTGGACTTGAAACTAGCCTAGGGCTTAGTACTTCACTGTAAACTTTTCTTTGTTTCTTTGCCTCCAGGGCTTGGAGCACCTGCTGCAACTCGTTGATGTAATCAACCACTCCTCCAATTATCGATGCTTGATCTCCCTGAGCCATATATAGCGGCAGAAAAAGAAGGATTTAATATAAAATACTCCTACACAAAATTACAATATAACACCTCGTGTGATTGATAAATTGAAGTTGTTAGAGGCAAGTAGATAACCAATATAGTTTAAGTCTTCTTATTCTTACACCGCTAACCTTAAATTAAAACTTGTGACATGTAAAACAAAGGCAGGCATCCAGAGGTATAGTGACAAAGAAAGCTACTAGCTAGAGGGGCGAGGATTGACCATAGACCGTTCCTAATCTTTATTTTTTATTATTATTATTATATATATATATATAAAATGATAATTTTATAATAATATGTTAGAATTTATATATATATATATATATATAGTTTGCCCTCCCTAAAAAAAATCAGTAATAGTTAGCATTTCCTATTAGTCTTAATAATATTTTCGAGATAAAAATTTCAGATTCCGCCACCAGTGGTGAAAGGTTTTTAAATAATTTGCATTAATTTATAAGTTCAAATTTCATTATCATCATTTCAATTAAAAAAAATAGAATTGTGAAAAAAGTAATTAAGAATGGGGAGAGTTATATTTAAAAAAATTTATTTACAAACTACACTACGTACTCACACTCGATTAGTAATGTACTCTTAGAAGTATATAATATAATTTGTAAAAGTTTATAAAAAAATTTGTAAACATATAGTTTCCATTAAGAATTATTATAGATAGAGTTATTGAAGCAAAGCACTATATGTGTTAATTCAAGCGATGAATGAGACCTACTCTTTTGACATAGAAGGAAGGCATAAGTGATCTCAAGACGGACAAGTGCTCATTCATTTGTTTTCTTCGGTTGCGTTCAACGGTAATGTGAGACATCCTTTGTTGTCCATCTGGGTTTGGCTCCTCCGGGGAAGTGGGGGCAAGCTTTTGTCTCTTGCTTTTAGGTGAGGTTTCAAGCTCAATTTCGGAATCATGTGGAGCACTTGAAGAGGTTGACTTTTGTGACACCAGTCTTGAGGTGTCGTCCTCGTTCTCTTTCTCTTTCGAAGCTGTAATAATAACAGCTTCTTCATTAACGAGAGGAAAATCTGTGAAGTCTTCTAGGCTCTCCAAAATGGAAAAGAGATCATCTGCACCGAAGTGGTTGTTCGCAAATTCTTTGTCATCGAAAATATCGGATAAGCTGTCATCCATTGTAATGAGAAAGTGTGGAGTCTTTGGGGTTAGAAAAGGACTTGAATATGTTACTAAAAAAAGAAAAAAGAAAAGGACTTGAATAGAGAACAGAAAAAAAAAGAGGTAGTGAAGATCAAAAGAAAATAATGGAGACAAAAAAAGGAGTAAATATGAGAAGGGTGTTGATGTGATGGAGACTAAACGATCGCCATCACCTGCAACTGACGTTAGGGTCTCTTTGAAAAGATGGGTTTCTAAACGGTTAGATGTAGGAATCAGGAAGGCAGTGCTGCACAGAATCCCAAGAATGCTTAAGGCAAAGCAGTAATCAAAACTGAAAAAGAAACCTTTGAGAGAGAGAGAGAGAGAGAGAGAGAGAGAGAGAGAAGGAGAGGGAGGTAGAATGGGGAAAGAGAAGGGTTTTATAACTTTTATATAGTGATGGTAATATATGCTAAAGGTAAGGTGAGTAGAAAAGATAACGCAATTTCAAATATTTTGTTTCTTTTGCCCCTTACAAGCTCTGCAATACATAACCAATGAGAGTATTGTTTTTGTAATTAGGAACGAGAGAGAGAGAAGGCTGAGGATCATTGTGCATCCGAGTTATAATTGCCATTCATAAATACCTCTGCTATTCTTCATTAATATTTCTCCGATCGAAATGTTTACAATTTTTTTTTGCATATACAGTAACATATTTAAACTTGAATTGATGTCCCTTAAATTTATGGGTACTTATTGTTTTGAAGTTCTAGACCATTTTGCAGATAATTCATAAATGCTTTAATTTAATAAAGCATTATTGATGACATTTACATTAGAAATTGCGTTGTTTCTATTCATTGTGATATATATGATGGTTTAGAATTTTAGTTGCTTAATGCCTAAGATTTTTAATGATGTATACTTTAATCAGAGAGATACTACTAGCCCTATGATAACCAGGGAAAAAAAATATTCCACAGAAGTTGAAGTTCATTTTACTTATGATGTATAAATATATGATCTAATTTTGTACAGAATAATACTGACAAGAATTTTTTTTTTTTTTGAAGTTAGATCGTCGTATATTACAATTATATTTGATTATATATTCTCGTTAATTTGTAGTTGATAATGTAGAGCATAATTGTATAACCTGCCTATCTTTCATATTATCCTTCATATATTAATTGTTTGGATATTCAATGTGGGGATAATGAATTTTTAGATGGGACAAACTTAAAGTAGTGAAACGTATAATTTAAACTATAAGCAGTAATCAATTTTTCTGTCATATGAATACTCCTAGTGCAATTATGTGCGTCTATTTAATATTAGAAAGGCATGTAGTTATTTATGGGGGGCAGGGATGGCAGTGATACAATTTTAAAGAGAAGATAGCTAGGTTACCTTCTTTATGGGTGGGGGAAATAGAACAAATGCCTGCATGAATGTGGTTGTTAATGGGGAAAACCGTTATTGCTGTAAAGCCAAAAGTGGAGAATGTTCTGCATGAAATCTCAGTATACAATTACCCGGCCTGTGAAAGCACTGAGATATATAAATTGTGGAGGCTGTCCTTATGTGTTGGCCGGTAGTTTCCTATGTGCTTTCTTATAACTGAAAAGCCTGCAAATATCCCTCACATTCTTTTAAAGTAAAACACATCGTGCAGCAACTTTCAGCCCCTTTCTTTTTTTCTTTTGTCTAACGATTTTTTTTGTTATTATTTGGATCAGAATTTCATAAAACTGACCTGTTGATGTGTTATTTTTCTCACGAAACTGATGATTTGAATTCATTTAATTTTTATTTTAGCTCTTTACGTATGTATACTTACTATAAAATATTTTTTTCATTCGTATGTTTGCAGAACATGATGTACTGACTTCTGTTTATTTTTTATTGGGGAGAAAAAATTATATATTTTATACACACAAAAAAGTGTATAGATATATAGAAGCTCGTGTGTGGTCATATGAAGAGAAAAAAAATAAAAAGAAAATATTGGCTCCACACACTTTTATATGTGCATATGAGATAATTTTATTTGAGAGATAATAAACCCTCATAATATATAGGAGAAGGAGTTACTTACTCAATAAATAAGCCTTGTATACTTACATTATTGAATTAGTTTTTGTAAAAATTAAACCGGACCATTAATTTAAAAAGGCTAGATTGATTACATTTAGTATTAAAATAAGGAGAAATTTATATTTATAAATTTTTTGTTTACAAACTACATTATGTCCGGTCATACTTTAATCAAGAGTGTATGATCGGTCATACTTAGTGTAATTTGTATAAAAAATTTATAAACGAATCATTCTCTTTAAAATAAAGGATAATGCATCGGTTATATCACAGGAAACAACAATTTTTTCTTGCGGAGACAATAAACAATCTGGAGTTCATTACTTTTTTTTTTCTCTCTTTATATTGTGGGACCCATGCTTTGCATTGTCTCTGTGGGGAAAAAAAAAATGTTTCCTATAACATAACCAATGTATTACCCTAAAAAAAAATAAAAATGCTAGATTATTTTTTTTCATAAAACATGTCATTAACTAATAGCGAGAAAAAGCATACACAAAAGTATTAAAGATGAGAGGTGATAAATCCTTTAACTAAACCTCTATGTCATCAAATCAAAACCTAAAATTAAATGGGCAAGTCAATGAGCAACGCATTGATCTCACCACAAATACAAGAGAAAATACATATGAAAGTAACGGTTTCAATGGTAGTCTTGAAGAAAAGTATCAACATCCTACAAACGTGAGGTACCACTTGAGAAAGAATGTAATAATTAGCTTCAACGATGACACCTATAAACTAAAGCCTAGCTTCGCTACAAATGCATAGACACTCTCGATGCCCAAACATCCATGATTGGATCATACAAAGCCCAGCAGGATTTTGACACCACGGTATAAATTCGCAATCATAATTTTTAACTACAATCATCGTACCACCTTTACCTGCATCATACCTACATGTAAGGATTCGAGTAAATCTTTCATAACTAACCATGAATACATCCTCTCTTACTAACGAAAATCATGTGACATTATTAATAAAAAAATAGGTGAATTAAATTATTAAAAATTCAAGTGTAAGTGATAAATAATTAAGTCCCGCATTAGTTAAGAATTAGCTAAGTCAAAAATATCTAGTTAAAGGATTCATGAACCTAATTACCTTGAGATTTTTATTAAGATATGATGTTGAACCAATTTATTATGGTTGATTCTTACTTAACCCATTAATACAGAGGTCTCCCAATTTCAACCTCAAAATCAATAAATTAGTTGGGTCAACCATATAATTTGGTTAAGCCAAGTACTTGAAGATGGTGGTTAATGTTTGGATTTGAAGCTACCAAACCCATGTTGCAAAGTCAAAACTTGATCACTCTTACTTGGTAACCCATAAATACTCAAAAAGTTTTCATTTGAAGGGAAGTTGACAAATATTACAACTTATACTTCGTGAGGAGATTATTGGGAATTCGTGTGTAAGTGATAAAGTCCCATGTTACGTATGAATTGAATAAGTGGGGAAAATATAAGTGGAAAAGCTTATAAACACAATGCTTTATTGTTGACTCGATATACAAATTTGACATAAACACGAATAAACTCATCAAGCATACGACTCGAATTTGAAATCGGGTAAAAACCTTCGATATGAATACAACTCACTTATCTTGCGGGTTGACACGACACAACACAAATAATCCACAAGCTCATAGTGTGTCGCTTATTGTAAAGAACCAATTCAACCCAAAAACTTAAGTGGTTGGGTGAGGTTATTTTGTAAAGAATCAATTCAACCTAAAAATTTAACACGTGCACGCCCCCCCTCGTATAACATCACCCAACCTATCTTTGTTAAAGTGGACTTAAAGTGTGGACAATGCGTAGACCCACCTATCTTTGTTAAAAAAAATTCACAAGAGAAAGTGGGGGGCGGTGAGGATCAAACTCGAGAAACCAATGCTCTGATACCATGTAAAGAACCAATTCAATCCAAAAGTTCAAGCTTTTAAATGAGAGCCTCTTTGATAGTTTATATTATACTCTAACACTTATTATGCGGGTTTATACGACATAATACAAATAACCTATAAACCCCCAACCGTGTTACTCATTATGAGGGTCGACACAACACTATGGGCTCGTTTGGTGGACAAGATAGGATATGGGTAGGATATGATATGGGACTGATAAGGATAGAATATGATATGGGACTGATAAGCCTATATCATGTCCTCTGTTTGATAAGCACCTTATTAGCAATCTGATAAGATTATGTATAAGGAGAAAGGAGAGAGAAAAAATAAAATATAATGCAATAAATATAAATATATTGGATAGCGTGGGGATATATTGGGTAGCGTGGGATATATTGAGTATCCAATATTGGTATCATATCCTATTGAATCCTAACCCAGCTCTCCCCATAGGATAAGAAATCATGTATTGGATAGGATAAAATGAGACAATATGATAAGCTAATCATATCCTATTAACCCACCAAACAAGAGATAAAAGTAGGATATGATAAATTATTCTATCCTATCTTCTTTATCAGGTGCTCCAAACAGGCCCTATAAGACACAAATTACCCTTTACGACAAGATATGATATGAATAATCTATAATAAGATTTATTCTGGACAATTTCGGGTTTACGGGTTGATATGTAACATAACACGAATTTTTTTGGTCAATTTTTGTTAACCCGAACACGGCACGAAATTGAAAATGGGTCGATCCAAAATATGAATTTTTTATGTCGTGTCATCGAATCGTGTTGAAAATTGTCATCCCTAATATTTTAAGATTTTTTATGAGATATGGTGTCGACTCAATTTTTTATTTCGCATAGTCCATTATATGCAAAATTTCCCCCTGTTTTGAGCTCGCGTAATATAACAAGTGGATTATGTTTTTTTAATTTTTTTTATTCTATTTTATTGGGAGATGCACCTTAGCTTTAAATTTTGGGTTTTGATTTTCTCGTGCG